AGGCACCAAACCGGGAAGGCTATGTAGCACCATCAAATGCGCAAAATAATCAGAGGGCGCTAAATATCACCAAGGATGCCAATACGAGAACAAAAACGCATAAGGCGAACGATATCAAAAGTATCCGAGTCACCAAGAATTCTATTGAGGGACAGGTGACCGCGAGGGGCGGTCGGAAAGCAAGACACACGCTCGTCCTGGAAGTCAGGACATTCAAGGACATGCACGACTGTAAGAGGGACACTGCAACTACGACAATGAGGAGCAGGGCGGCGCTCCATCAAGTGACTATTGGTAAAGCGAGTATGGCTAATACGCAACCTCGCCAGGGCCGTTTCCCATCGCCGGTTACAGTGGTAGGAGGACGGCCACGAGGAAACAACATTTAAGAGTACGTAGTTTGTTACCAGTAACAGACGACCAAGAAGCCTGCCAACGGGTAAGGATGGAGGGATGGATAACCGAACTAAAAAACCGGTAAAAGTCAATATGGAATACCTGTACGAGAGATGGGACATGAGCGGACAGCTTCCCTGGCGTCAGCATCCACACGCTCATTTTAAGAGACACCAACATGGCTGGGAACCCAACAAAGCTCAACCGACTTAAATTTACAGTCAACAAGAAGCAGCCAATGCTGGATCTCGACAACCACTGGATGAACCAGATTAAAGGACCCGAGAGCCATGAGGGCACTACGAGAGTCGACAACAACTATAAAAGGAAGATTAACAACGAGAAAGCAGGAGACGAAGAGCAGAGAGAATAGCATAAAGCTCCACTGTAAAGACGCTAGTCTCGGAGGTAAGCGACAAGTGTGATCAGGAAAAACGACAGTTGCCAACACCGTCCGTAGACGTACACCCATCGGTAAAGACGGAAACTGAGTAGGAGTGAGGAAAACTGCAAGGAAAAGGCGTTTTAGAACTGTAGGAGGAATAAAAGCTTTAGTGATGAGGGTCAGGGATGTCCAAAACTGCGGGGGCAAAGAAGGAACAACATGAGGAGAAACATTAGAAATACGACCGGAAAGAGAATCCTGTAAGCGAGATAACCGGACAGAAAGAGGGAGGTGATGAAGAGGAACAGGAACCCCAGGAGGTGCAAAAGTTAAAGCACGACAGAGGCGAGAGGAAGGATGTTTTAAGGACCGCACGAGATAGCAAAGCCAATGTCAACATACAAGCCGAGGACGGGAGTCAAACAAAAGACACCAGAAGTGAGGCGCAACCCAGTATGGTGCAAAGCATCAAGAAAGCGAATAGTAGGGAAGCAGACGAGTAAGCAGGGCAACCATAATCGAGCTTAGACAGGACGAGAGAGGAATGTAAAGCAAGGAGTGCGCGCCTATCTGCTCCCCCAAGAAGTATGGGACAATACCCGAAGGAGGGTAAGGGCCTTAGAGCACTCAACACGGAGGTAAGAGATATGGGGAGGCCACGACAAACGAGTGTCGGAGAATAACCCCCAAAAGCTTCGTGGAACCTTTGTACTCAAGGGGATGACCATAAAGTGACAGAGGGACGAAGAACGACCCGTTTCCGAGTAAAAGTCATGGCACAAGCCTTAGTAGTAGAGAACTTGAAGCCATGATCGGTGGCCCAAGACGACACGGCATCAATCGCAAGTTGAAGCCGGCGTTGAAGGAGAGGCGAATCACAACCCTGACAGCAAAGGATATCATCGACAGAGCTGAGAAGACGCCTGAAGGAAGAGAGGAAAGAAGACCATTGAGGGCAACTAAAAAATAAAAAAAAGTAGTGCTGAGAACGCTACCCCTGGGGCACACCTTCGTATTGCTGAAAAAGAGGCAGAGCGCGGTACCAAGCCGCACCCCAAAGGAACGACGAGAGGTGAAGCTGTGAAGAAAAAGGGAGATGACCACGAAGGCCAAAAGAATGAAGCTGGGATAGAATATGATTGCCAAGTGGTGTCTTAAGCCTTTTCTAGGTCAAAAAGGACGGCAACAATGGAGGTCTTCGCAGCAAAAGCAGTACGAATATAGACCAAGTTCACCAGGACATCTGTCGTGCTGCGGCACTTGCGGAAACCAAATTGAGAAGGGGAGAGGTGGTGATGGTGTTCCAGGAACCACATCAGACGAACGTTAACCATACATTCATAGAGTTTGTAGATAACTTGAGGGCAATAGGGCGAAAGTCCTTAGGGGATGTTCCCAGAGACCCTGGTTTGCGAACGGAGGACAACGGCATCGAGCCAGTCCTCAGGAACTAACGAAGACTCTCAGATCCGATTTTACACAGTAAATACCGAGACGTGCATGGAGGGAGATGGTGAATCATCTCAATGAATACCATCGAAGCCTGCCGCCGTAGAACCGCAGAGGACCAGGGCAGAATGAAGTTCAGAGAGAGAACAGATCGTTATAGGGAAGTCTAAGACGAGTGCAGAAATCTAAAGGACGAGACTCGAGGACAGGTTTACGAAGAAGGAAAGATTGGGGAAGAAGACCAGAGCCAACAGAAGAAAAGTGGGAACCCAGTTCGGTAGCGACCTGCAACGGGTCCGCCACAAGAGTACCATGGAGGTGAAGGACCAGTGAAACATCGGGAACGAACTTCCCCGGTATCTTGCAGATACGCTTCCAGATCTGTGGCAGAGGAGTTTCGGACATAATGGTAAACATAAGATGCCCAACATTCATGTTTAGCCATACGGATAGCCCTACGGGCCACCCAACTCTCCTTCCGAAAGAAAAGAATCTGCCGACGGCGGTCTCTTCCAGGATGCACGCTTACAGCAGACAGCCTGAGCACAGTGTGCATTCCACCAGGGAACGCAATTCCGTGGACCCCGAGGGGAAGAGCGGAGGGCAGCGTCGAAGACTCATGAAAAAGGAGGAGAGCGAGAGGTCAGAGAGAGTAGCACTGAGGGTAAAAAGGTTCCAGTCCGCTTTCGCAAACTGCCACCTAGGGAAGGAGAGGGCTAAAAGAGAAATAAGTAACAAGGATGGGGAAATAGTCACTGCCATGGAGGTCATCAAGAACCTGCCACGTAAAATCTAAGTAAAGAGAAGAAGAGCAGAGAAAAATCAAGACGGGAAAGGGCGAGTCCAAATGCGTGGGCTTAGGGTGCCGGAAGAAAACCCAGATGTAATAGGGCTTGGAAACTAAATTTAGGAATCATAAATGGTGTTTCTGCAGGACTACGATATAGTAAGCAAAGTGGGAAGGGTGAATAGCCCTGCTGATAAGTTCTTTAATTTTGAAGAGATGGATATTCCAGCCTGTGAATGTTTCAGAAGCTACATAAACTATGCTACTAATGTTTTAGGTCCACCCATTGTCACTTACAACCCTCCATTAAATGACAGAAGACCCAGGAGTTAAATAGAAACATGGCAACTATTTACACAAGAGCAACTTCAGTTGGCTGCAGGAATGGATCTAGAATCTTAATCATGGGCGACTTCAACTACAGAATTAGACGGCGATTGGTGAATATGGAAGTGCAGATATATGGAGAGCTAAACTGACGTGGCAGCAAGAAACTGAACCAACATGTCAAAGGACCCCACAAGAAAAAAAGGCGAACCAGCTACACCTGGTTCCTAGTAGACCGACATTCACCTGCAAGAAGCCAGACATTAGGGAAGTCAAATGTGACCACAGCGTGTTGACATTTGAATCTGGTGTAGGTAAGCATTTCATACCCAAGCAAAGGATCCGAGTTAAAGTCCGATTTACCGAAGAGGAAAATATGAAGATATTTAGAAGTTAAAATGAATATATGAACTTATTGGAATACCATGGGAAACAGACCAAGTTAAGACTGGACAAAGTGGTCCAGTGAAGAAAGTAATAGCCAAGCAACAAGAAAGAGTAACTTGGGGAAGAAGAGAGAGTGATACACCAGTGATGAGATTCCACCAGCAGAGTCCCACAGGACTATTTGGACCCATCCTGTTTCAGATATATGTAAGCAGTCTTATTGGTCATAGACTCCTTCCTCCGAGTGCCAATAAAAAAAAAAATTATGGGAATAATCAAGACAGATGAAGATTACAGACAACCTGGAAAAACCTGGAGGAATGGTCTAGAAAATGGCCAAGTTTAATACTGGAAAGCAAGTTAGGTGAAGGGAGCAGGAGGCCGAACACTATGTACCATGCAAAAGATGAAATCCTGAAAGTCAAATAGATCTGGGATTGATACCACACTAAACCTATCCCCAGGAGCCCACATCAAAATTTCATCAGCGGGATCTGCTAGATTAGCCAACATAAGTTTTTTAAGAAACTTTTAGTCCTTCAGAACCTCTCAAACCACTCAAGCATTGGTCTGCCGTGAGTATGCAGCTCCAGCCTGGAGTCTGCATAGTTAAACACAAGACAAACATAAGATTAAGGTATGTCACCAGACTAGTCCTAGAACCGAGAGGCATGAGGAAAGGCTACTGGAGCTAAACCTAAAGTCCCTGGAAAGCTAGATTAAAGTGAGACATTATCAGCTACAAAATTCTCAGGAATTTACAGTGGACTAAAAACCTTTTAGCATGCGTGTATACACCCATGCTAAAAGTCACATGTGAAAATCATTTCTATTTACATCGTTGTGCTAACAAAAGCCGTCAGTAAGGTACTTGATCTGGAAGCTTTAAGGACGTAATAGATCCCGTCCTCAAAGGCCAAAGTCCATGCACCCGCCAAACCCCGTTTATGAATAAAGTAATTATCAAAGAAGGCAACAAGTCGGGAGAGCCATGTAGCCGTTTATGAATGCAAAACTGTACACGATTACGTCTGAACACTTCCGGAACAAGTACTTCGCTGACGACTTTTGAAACCTACGCTGTAAATACTTCACCCACGTACTACAAATAATCAACAGGACTTAAACCACCTAACTAATGCCTTTATTATAATATGCACAGTATGCCAAGATATTAGTTTATATTCGAGAATTTCCCCATTTGGAAATAACAGCATGTTAAAATTTTATGAAGCGTTTCTAGGGTCAACTGCTGGGTGGAGTGGATTTTGTCCGAGGACGGCTTACATAATCAGTCGAGTGTCTTTGTAACTAGTTTTTATTAACATTTATAAACTGGGGCTCCATGAAATAGACTTTAGCCTTTGTTTAGGAGGACGAGCAGCATAGTGCGACAACTTAACTTTAGTCCCACTTCCATTTTTCTGTAACTGGCCGGAGCATTTGTGGTAGACATGATCACAGCCTTCAAGACCACTATTTAAGATAGTTCTACGGTGCCTGGTTTTGCCTTACATAGTGGCTACCAAAAATTTCGTTGGTTTCTAGAAGACCAAGCCTATACGAGTGAGAAAGCATATTAAAACTTGCCAAGGCATGTTCTTCATTTTAACGAACTCTTGTTTAAGATTCAGCTACTCTTAACAAAAGTGCCAAGCAGCACGGGCTATGGCGAGCCCATAGTGGGCTGTCCTCTATCATTAACTAGCTTAACTACATTAAACCAAAACTTGTTAATCTAAAATTAGTTTAATAAAAATATTTAGCTATTACTTAAGTTTACTAGATATTTTTTACTACAATGCAAGAGTTTTGTATTAAGATTAACAGTCTTGAGGATGGTAGCCGCTGTTAATGTAGTGTCCGTCACTGTCCGGTAGTCCGTGAAGGTAGTTCACTTAATATTCGTTGTACCACCGTCGCTGTGTACGTCAACCTGCAAGACAGAATATACGTCATTAACACGAGGTAATATTGTTACCAACCCCCCCCCCCCCCAATACCACACACTGTATTCTATACTTACACCTGGGTGACCGGAGTGGTGTACTGGCTGATTATGTAGGACGTGTGGCCGAGGGTCACGTAACTTAGTGACGTTTCCGTCACGATCCTAAAGTCAGACTTCACTTCCGTTAACATTACTGACGTTGGCCGGACAGAAGTCTGGAGAGCGACCCGGTCATCAACGGGAGTCTGTAGCACCTGTGTTGTAGAAAGGAAGGTTATAAGCGGGAAGATGATGAGTGTGTTATTATCTTAATACAGCACTGTTACTGTAAACTTACCGAGCGTGTTCCGACGGTGACAGTCTGCACGCTGAAGGACGTTAGTGTTACTGCCACGCTGTTGAAGGCTTGGTCGGTGACAGTCACGCAACAGTTGATGGTGACAACTTTGGTGACAGTGGGGTGGAAGACATCGTCCACCCTCCTGACCTGAGGAACGCCAACAGGTCTGACAACACTTCCAGAAGGTCCAGTGCTGCCCACTGCGACCCGCGGAACGTTCACCTGGGCCAACCTGCCACTGCTGAATATGGTAGCTGGACCACTGCCGACGCCCTGGCCAAGAATAGGACCACCGAAGACACCCTACCCAACATTAGGACCGAATGCTACATCACTGCAAAAGTCTTGGGAAAAATAACATCCATCAGCAAGTAAGTAATTGTCAAAAGAAGGCACCAAACCGGGTAGGATATGTAACACCATCAAAAGGTCGGCATAATCAGAGGGCGCTAAATATCACCAAGGATGCCAATACGAGAACAAACGCACAAGGCGAACGATATCAAAAGGGTCAGAGTCCCCAAGAATAACACGAGACAAGCTACCGCAGGGGATGGTCGGAAAACAAGACACGCTCGTCCCGGAAGTCAGGACATTCAATAAGGATATGCACGACCATAAGAGGGACAGTGCGATTTGAACAATAAGGAGCAGGGCGGCGCTCCATCAAGGTGACCATGAGTTAAAGTATGGCCAATACACAACCTCGCCAGGGCCGTTTCCCATCGCCGGTTATAGTGGTAGGAGGACGGCCACGAGGAGACAACTTTTAAGAGAACGTAGTTTGTTACCAGTAACAGACGACCACCAAGCTTGCCAACAGGTAAGGATGGAGGAATGGATAACCGGGTAAAAGTCTGAATAAGGAATACCTTTACGAGAGATAAGGACGGACAGCGTCCCTGGCGCCAGCAGCCACACGCTCATTTAAAGACACCAATATGGCTGGGAACCCAACAAAACTCAACCGACCTAAATTTACTGTGAACAAGAAACTGCCAATGCTGGATCTCGACAACCACTGGATGAACCGGATTAAAGGACCCCGAGAGCCATGAGAGCACTACAAGTCAACAACACAAGGAAGTTTAACAATGAGAGAGCAGGAGACGAAGAGCAGAGAGA